CAAAAAAAAAAAAAAAGAAAAGTGCTCAAGGGAAGCTGGTGAGGGAGGCCTGGCACGGAGGCCACACCACCCCTCCAGCCTCCTGAGGCTGGTTAGTCAGGGGAGGGGACAGCAGCAGACCTCTTTCTGGAGGGACAGAGACCCCCACCTTGGGTGCTGCCACAGGGCCAAGGTCAGGAATGACACACATTCTTCCCCTGCCCCTCCCAGTCCTCTCCTGAGGCCCAGGGTCCACATCCACATGGAGGCCTCCACCAAGGACCCTCAACATGCCCTCTGACCTGCAGGCACCCAGGCTCAGTGCGCTGCCAGGCGAGGGCTTCTCAGAGTTCCCAGGTCAGGTCTGGGAGGCACAAGCCTTGGCAAGGGTGCAACGGCCGTTTCGAAGTTGGACCAAGAACATTCCAGAGGTGGCAGGTGGGGGGGTCTGAGGCTTCCCAGTGGGAGGTGGGAGCACAGCATGGCCTTCAACTGGGAAGGGGTGTGCAGGGCTGGTCACTAGTCTGCACTCTCTGGTTGGTGTCTGACTCGACCTCAGCCTGGCCCCGCGCCAGCAAGATGTGCTCATATCGCTGGAGGCCCCTCAAATGCCATCTATTTGTGGCCTGGACCCTGAAGCTGGCACGAGTCATATGTGAGCACGGGGACGGGTATTTTTGGCAGTGGGGGTGGAGCCTGTGTGCAAGCCCAGCACCATGCCCGCTCAGGGACGGGCAGCTCAGACGCCCAGGTCCGCTGCCCAGCTGGCTGCCGGGATCCAGGTAGGATGTGGCCGGACATTGCCCTTGACTCAGGGTCCCAATGGCAGACAGCCCCACAAAGACTCCACGAGAGGCCAGAGAGGAGGGCCCAGGTCAGTGGGTAAGTGGCCAAGGCATCTGCATCTCAGGACCGTCCCACCAGAGTGACTACCACACCTGGGTCCAGAGGGAGCTGCCCACAGGCCACAGGAAGCCCCTGTAGTGGCTAGGGCCATCACCTTAGTTCTCAGAGACCGGGCAAAGAAGGCACCCTGGGCAGCTGGGCAGGCCTGGTCAGGAGTGCAGACCCCTGGACAGCTCCAGGTGGCCGCTGGGAGCCAGGAGGCCCGTCTCACTCTGCCTCCGGCCTGGGAGCTCCCTGCCGATCCCCTGGTGCTCTGGCCAGCACCAGCGTGACCAGCACCAGCCAAAGCCGGTGGAAGGTCATCGCCAAGGTCTGGTCACTTGCTGGGCCCTGCAGCCTCCTCTGTGGCCAGTTGCCATCTGGGGCACGCTGGGACAGGCCAGGCTGACCATCACCCAAGGGCACTGACCCTTGACAGGGGCTTTGCCGTATAAGGCAGCTCGGGAAGAGGTGGAGGAGATGAGTCTGGCCCAGCTGGACAGGAGATGCCCAAAGACATGGTGGAAAACCACTTCTGGGAAGGAACCGTGAAATCGAGGAATGCTAGTTTTAGCGCAGTTCTCTGATTAAGATCATGCTCGATTAAGGAATGAAACAATGTGTCATTACCAAGTTATCATCTGGGATCCATTTGAAAGTTGGGGAAGCGGGAGTTGGGATTTTCTGCCTGTCAGGTTCGAAGGAAGCCTGGCCTTCCCTCTGGACTCCGTTCCCTTCCTTTCAGGGTGCAGATGGAGTCCAGGGAAGGCGGGGGGCCCCCAGGCCGGGTGGGGCGGCAGAGACGCGTGCAGGTTGGTGCCCGGGGCCTGGATCCGTGAAGACTCAGCTGGCCCCGGCTCTGCACCTCTGCTGACTCCAAATGGAAAACTTCCAGTACAGCGTCCAGCTGAGTGACCAGGACTGGGCCGAGTTCTCGGCCACCACCGACGAGTGTGGCCTCCTGCAGGCCGGCCTGGCCTCTGGGGATGAGCTCTTGTCCAGTGACATTGACCAAGGAGACAGCAGTGGCAGCAGCCCCCCCGGGCCTCCACCCCTCCCCATCGGGCAGCAGGCCGCAAGGGGGAGCGGCCAGTGGGGCTGTGGGGAGGAGGACGTGGCCCCCCGGTGGCTGGTCAGCAGGTCTCAGTGTGAGCCCGTCTTGGATCCGGGGTCCGGTCAGCAGACGCCCAGCACGTCCACACGGTCAGCGTCCCGGCTGTCACTTGGCTCTGGCACCAGCCCTCCTGGCCAGAGCTCCAACCACCCAGGGCCAGAGTCTTCCGGAGACAAGATGCAGAGGCTTCAGCAGGGCCCCGGCTCAAGCTCCCCCGGGGAGCCCCCTCGGAGTTCTGAGGCCCCTGGCCACGGAGCCACCCCCCCGAGGCCGCCAGAGAATCCTGGAGCCTCACCAAGGAGCCCTGGCCGGAAAAAAAGGCGTGCTAAGGGGGGCGGGCACTCGGGAGCCCCCGGCCCTGCCCCTGCCCAGTTGGGCTCCCTGCTGCCCAGAGCTGCCTGGCCCGAGGAGGACCTGGGACTGGCCAGGCCCGTGGGGAGGGGTCCTGTGGCTGGGCCGGCAGAGCTCACAGCCGGAGCTGGGCAGGACGCATTGGGGCTAGACTCCACAGCAGCTGCTGAGCCTGGACCCAAGTGCCCTGAGCAGGTTGCCAGGCGAGGACCCAGGGTGGGCCTGTCTACACCTGTTCCTGTGACTGAGCAAGGAGCAGACCAAGTAAGAATGACCCCCAGAGCCGAGATCCACACAGCGTCCACATCCGTCCAAGATGCCCATCAGGATGTCTTAAGGGCTAAGCCAGACACAGCTGTGTCTACACCGGCCTCCGAGCCTCCACCTGACACGGACACGGCTGTGTCTACACCTGCCTCCAAGCCTCCACTAGACATGGGTCTGTCTACACTTGCCTCCAAGCCTAGATTGAATGTGAACCTGCTTACAGCAGGCCCAGTGGTTGAGCCAGAGGTGGCTTCATCTACACCCATCTCAGGGGCTATGCCAATTCCAGCCGTGCCTCACTCTGGTGGAGGCGTGTCTCCACCTGCTCCCAGATCTGATGCCGCTACCCCTGGCTGCTCCCCCGCCCCCCAGGCTGGGCCTGATGTGGGGGACACGGAGGTTGCTGTGTCTCCAGGAGGACACCGAGAGAAGCCCAGAGGCGAGCCCTCAGGAGGGGCCTCTGGACAGTTCTGGAGGGATCCCCTCCCAGGCCCTGCCCAAGCTCCCAGGAAGAAGAAGGTACGATTCTCCATGGCTGTGTCCAGCCCTGAGGAGTCAGGGTCGGAAAGGGCCCCCGGCTCACCCTCGCCAGCCACAGCCTGGTCCTCAGCTGGGAGCTACAGGGGTCCCGGAGCCCGGGACGCTGTGGCCCTTGGGCCCCGGCAGCCTCAGCCTCGGATCCTGAAGCATCTCCCCCCGGTTGCACCCTCCACCTTGGAGGCTGCAGGGTACAGGGCCTGCTTTGCTGTGACCCTCCCAGAGGCCTACGAGTTCTTCTTCTGTGACACCATTGAGGAGGAGGATGAAGACACAGAGGACGCAGCTACCACCAGCCAGGCCCTGGAGGAGGTCCAGTGGCCGGATGTGTGCGAGTTCTTCTTCCGGGATTCCCCAGCCCAGCCGTCCAGGCAGCAGGGGGGCCACTCCCAGACCTCACCCCCCAGAGCAGAACATGTGCCAGCACCCCCACCTGGAGACCCCGTGGCCATCTCCATCCCAGAGGCCTATGAACACTTCTTTGGGGATGAAAGGGCTGGGGACATGCTGGGTTCAGACACCCTGCTCCAGCTGCAGGCTTCGGAGTTCCCCAGGTCGGCCTCCTGGGGACCGGGGCCTGGGACTCCAGTCGAGCCAGCCACAGCCACACAGCTCAGCCAGGCGGTCAGGTGGCCAGGTGCGTGCTGCTCGGGCTCTGTGGCCCATCCAGGCCCTTGGGTACACACCATCTGGGGGCTCAGCCAGGGGACTGTCATGGGGGGAAGACAGGACCTGGGTCATCACCTAGTGGGGAGTCTCAGGGACTGGTGGGGAGGGAGAAATCAGCTCCTGGTAATTCCAGGACTGGGTCCAGATGGGGATGTCTAGGCCGGTCACCGTGGTCACTCAGGGGTTCAGATCTGACTGGCCACCCCTGTGTTCGGCCCAAACGGCAGCAGCATCTGCCCCAGCCTCTGGTGCAGCAGGTGCAGTGGGGGAGGGAGAGGGGAGAGAGGTACTTCCACCCGGGTCTCACCGGCCCTCAGGACCAGCATCTGAGAGACAGTGTCTCTCACCCTCTGGGGGAGTGAGACCTTTGGAGACCAGGAACAGGGGCCCAGCCAGGGCAGCTGGCCCAAGCTGGCCCCACTCAACCCTGTGACTCTCCACCGGCGTCTCAGGGCAGAGATAGCCAGGGAGGGTGAATCAGTGGCTTTCAGGACCGGTGTGTCCCTGCATGGGGCCAGAGCTGAGGGATGTTTCTCCCTCCCAGGGGAGCTCCGAGGTCCCCTCACCTCGCTCACCCTCAGCCAGAACGACATGTGCCTGGTGTTTGTAGCCTTTGCCAGCTGGGCCGTGCGAACATCAGATCTGCATACCCCAGACGCCTGGAAAACAGGTTTGGGGGCCCTGGGGGCAGAGGGAGCTGGTGCCCAGCAGTCATTGAGGGTGGCGAGTCTGCTCCCCGCTGGGCCTGCAGGGTGTGGGCTGTGGGGGGAACCCAGGCTGCTCCTGGGCCTGCCCTCCCCACCTCTGACCCACTGCCCTGACCCGCTGGCCTTTAAGGGCTGGTCCCGTGGGCAGATGGCGCTGACCAGCAGGGGCTGCCCTCATGAGACCTTGTGTCTCTCTTGCAGTCCTGCTGGCCAACATTGGCACCATCTCGGCTATCCGCTACTTCCGCCGGCAGGTGGGGCAGGGGCGGCGTAGCTGTGGCCCCAGCCGTAGCCCCAGCCCCAGTGCCTAGGAGCCAGGCCCGGCTGAGGAAGACACAGGACAAGAAGACCACGGGTGCCCCGGACGAGGTGCTGTCCTCATCCTCGCCTTTGGCCCTGTCTTCTCCAGTTCCAGGAGGGAGGCGGGGCCCAAGGGCCACTCCTTCGGCCTCTGCCTGGGCGTCTGGCCAGCGGCCAGGCTGCTCCCCACAGCCGCAGGGGGAGGGGGGTTCTGGAAGTCTGGGTGGGTAGAGGCTAAGCAAGAGCTGGTTCGTAGGGTGGCCAGATGAGCAAATAAAAACACAGGGCATTTGGTTAAATTTGAATCCCAGACATGCAATATTTGGGATGTGCTTACACTGAGAAATTGTGTGTTGTTTAGAACCCTGTGTTTTTTCTGGTATGTAGTGGGGATTAGCGGCAGGACAGGACATTGGACATCGGAGGGGTGTGAGTAGGAGCCAGGCCCCGCTGGAGGTCTGGGCAGGGGCGAGGGTGAGAACGCAGGGAGGCCTCAAAGCCAGGGGCTCTGGGGACTCTGCATCGCTCACAGTAGGCCGGGCTGGTGAGGCCATCTGACCCACGAGCCCTGAGGGACGATGGCCAGGACGCCCCTGGCCTCTGGCCTGGGATGGGGAAGGAGACTCCTGTAGGGCAGGGCTCTGTGGGCAGATCATGGAGCCCCTCTCCTGGGAACCCTGGGCAGAGGGGGAATTCAGTGACCTCAGATGGAGGGACTGAGCTCCTGGGGTTGTCCCAGGGGCTCCTGGGGAGAAGCTGGAGGCCCAGGTCCAAGAGGAGTCAGAGACGGGGCGTGAAGGTGGGGGGGGTGGCAGTGGCAGAGCAAAGGGGCCCTGGCTGGGTGCTGGCTGGGGTCCTGCCCGGAGTGGTGGGCGTGCAGGGTCCCTAGGAGGCTCTTGGCTGTGGACAGAGAACATGGGACACAGAGCACAGTAAAACTTCTTTCTTTCTTTTTGTTTAATGGCGTCTGTGTTTTCCGACCTGTCCCCATCCCGGCACATGCCCAGGCCACGCCAGGCCCACCTGCCCTCCTTGAGGGAACACCCCCAACCTCATGCCTTGCTGACTTCTGGTCCTCGTGCCCTCTGACTTCACATGCTCTGGCCCTGCGAACCCTTCTCCACTCTCCGACCTTTCGCCCACACCACCCTCCCACGCCCAGGGGACGCCCCCATCGAGTCCCCGCCCTCAACCCCTCTCTGGGAGGCAGAGCTGAGGGATGGCCCTGTGGGCATTCAGGACCTCCCTGGCCTGTGGTCCAGTTGCTCTGCCAGGGCATTCCTGGGAAAGGACCCAGCCCAGGGATGGTTCTGGGACTCCCTGACCCCGCGGCATTAGACTCCGAATTGGATGAGGGTCACAGGGGTGGGCGGCCCCGGCCACCAGGTCCTGAGAAGCAGCCGTCCCCGGGCATCAGATCCACTGCACGAGCCTCCCCTCGGCCTCGGACCCTCCGAGCCGGGGCCCCCTGGAGTGGGAGGGGCACGAGGCCTTGTCCCAGATGTTGTCATAGCTTGGGCCCTGGCACCTCCTGGGGGACCCGTCATCTGGGGGTAGAGCAGAGATGTGTTGGTGGACAGTAGGCGATGCCTGAGCTCACCTGAAAGGACCAGGGCCATCACTCACCTGGGGGAGGCACCGGGGGGTCGGGCGGACCTTCCGTGGCAGAGGAGACCTGAGGGTCCCAACCACAAGTGAGAGCTGGACGCAGCCCCAAGGCAGGGGCTCCAAGACCAGCCATGATCTGCAGACCCCACACTTCCCTCGGGCTCTGTGTCCCCTGCGTGCCCTCCCCACTCCACATCTGCCCCCTGTTGCACCCCGAGTCTCAGGTGTCTCTCTGCTCCCTCAGGGTCCGGAAGGCCCAGGCCATCTCCCTAGCACCCCTGAAGTGTAGGGACAAGGGCCTCCTCCCACTGGAGGTGGTCACTACTCACAAGCCAAGGGGAGTCTGGAGGCCGTGGCCCCCGGCCCTTGACAGAGCCTCGGTGCCTCTGTGAGGCTCGGGACGGCAGGGCTCCCTTCTTGGAGAACAGGTGAAGGCCGGGAGGCCCAGGGGAGCTGGGATGTCCAGAGTCAGGGTCAGAGACAGGCACAGACACAGGAACCAAGGGGAATGGTCTTGAGGGTCCAGGGGAGTTCTGCATGGCACTGAGGAACTGTCAGGAAAGAGGGGGCAGACCCGAGGCTGGGATCTTGTGGAGCCCGGAGACCTCTGCTCCAAAGCCCCTCAGCCTGTCACCACAGCCTGAGCAGGCTTCAGACTCTGGGCAACCTCACACCCCAGGGTGAGGAGCATGGACTAGACCTCCTCGGACTCCAGACCTCGGGCTCTGGGCACATCCCCGACAGCGGGCTGCAGGCGCGTCTAGCCCTTTCTACCCCTCGGCGGGGCACTGACCTCATCCAGGCCCCCGACATCTGTGATTGTGCGGTGGGAGGTGGCAGGCGGCGTGTAGGGGTCGGCGTAGAGCGGAGAGTGTGGTGTCTTCAGTGTGTGGTCTGAAGCTTCTGGGCCAGACTCCAGGATCAGCCTGCTCAGCTGCAGGGCAGAGGCAGGAGAGAGGCTTCTTCAGCCAGAAGTCACCAGGGCCTCCTTTCTCTGTGCAAGAGGCATCTGGGTGGCTCGGGCGGGCAGGGCTGAGAGCCAGGGGCTGGGAGGTAGAGTGCGTGTGCTAGGCCCACCTGGGTCAGGTCCAGGTGCAGTGGGGCGGTCGGGCCAGGCCCTTCCGCCAGGGCCTTGCTCCTGGGTGACCGGCTGCTGCCACCACGTCTCAGCTCTGTCCTCTGCCGGCCAGTGCTGGTACAATCAGGGTTGGCCTGGTCCTGTGGGGACCAAGAGCCTTCCAGAAAGTTCCCTGGACCCCTCTCCCACACAGTTCTGTGAGGCTGCACAGAGCCTCCTCCAGTCTGATTCCCCCTCCTTGCCAGGAACCAGGGTCCCCAACACACCCTTGTCTCACGTGTCCTGCCCTCTCTCTTCTGCCACCCCCAGGTACTCACGGGTGCAGGCTGGCCCGGGCGGCCTGCAGAAGGTGGTCCCGAGGACTCAGGCAGGGAGCGGCTAGTGTGGGAGGAGGGGGGCGCCGGACACCCTGAGTCCCAGCTGGTCCTGCTGTCCAGGAAGAGTGAGCCTTGGCCACTGCCAGAGACCTAGGCAGCCGGAGGGTGAGCCAGGAGTTGGGCCTCCAACTTCTGTCCCCAGCTTTTGCCTCTGCCCGAGGGGTTGTGAGCTGTGGGCCTGCTGACCCCTCACCTGTGTGGGCGCCTGCAGCCCCTGGAGGCTGCCAGTGCTGGGCAGTGAGGAGTTCCCCTCCCTATGGGCGATGGTTCGGAGGCAAAGCAGCCAGTGGCTGTAATCCTCGTAGCTGGCACATACCACGCGGATGGTGTTGATGAGGCAGCCTGCGTGTGGAAGCCGTGAGGAGCTGGTGGAGCAGGGAGCACCTATGCCAGCTCCCCCAGAGCGCTGGGGTGTCTAGCCGCTCCCGATCCCCCAACAGCTGTAGGGCAGGGGCAGAGATTGGGCAAACCCACCTTCGATCAGGAAGGAGCGGATCTGTTTCTCTCTTTCTTCCAGGTTGATGTGGATGGCACGGAGCGGGAGCTCACCCTGTGGAGGCAGCGGGTGAGGCTGGGCCTTCATTCACTGGAGGCAGCCCTGAGCCCCGCCGGGCCCCAGCCTGCTGTCTTGGCCTCAGAGCCCAGTGGGTGCTTGGACGGCCAGGCCCTGAGGCTGACACCCAGAGGGAGGGTGGCAGCTCCTGTCTGTCCTCGGCGTTGCCGCCCCTGGTGGGGCCTTCATGCCTGGTAGCAGGCGCAGGCAGGGTCACGGGTGCTGGTCTCCTAGAGTCACCCGAGAAGACAGGGCAGGGTGGGGACCACGTGGAAGCCCACACGTACTTCTCAGGGACTGAAGGTTACTGTGTGTGCACACCACCGACATACTCTGGCCCCAGAGAACGCACTGTGCGTGCACACGTGTGAACACCCGCACACACACACATGGGCAAGCACAGGTGGGGGACTCCCGGGAGCGGGTCTCACTCCACGCCTGCTGCCCCAGGGCGATGGCTGTTGGGGGCCCAGGACCTCAGGGCGGCAGGGGATGCTCGGGGTGGGAGCTCCTTCTCCACACAGGAGCCGAGACCAGACTGACCAGGACAGCAGGCCGAGTGGGTGGGGCCTTCACCCTGCCCCAGCAGGCCCCGAAATACAGGTTCCTCTCGAGTGGCCGCCCCTCCCACCCCCACACAGGTGCCTCCCTGGGCGGGCCACGGAGGGGAGGAGCCCACCTTGAAGCAGAGCCCATCCGGTTCCTCCGAGAAAATGGCCAGGGAAGTTGGGTACAGGACCAGGAGCCGGTCCCACTGCTCCTGAGAGGGGTCAAGGGATGGGGGGCTGGGACACCGTGAACCCCAGGCCCGCTCCCTCCTGGCCCCTCAGTCCCGCAGCCCCGACCCACCTCCGCGGGCAGGTGCTGCAGCTTGACCCTCGAGGCACAGACAGCGGTGCCCATCGACTCCCGCCCAGATGCCGTCCGCAGCCGGGTCAGCCGGCGCTGCAGCGTCCACGGGAGCTCTTCCCCAGAGGAGCCCTGTGAGGAGGATGTCAGGGCAGGCTGGGAAGGTGGGGAGGGAGGAGCAAAGTCCCGGACACCAACCTGTGGAGGTGCCAAGTGGCAGCGCCGCAGCCTCCCCGCGAGGGCCGTCTGCTTCTCCAGGTGGTAGAGCCAGCAGTCCAGCTCGGCCCGGCTTGGGCAGATCACTAGGAGGGGCGAGGGCAGTGGGCCTGCGGGTGGCGGGCCAGAGGTCGCTGGGGGGCCAGAGCCTAGAGCCTCACCACCCACAGGACAGTCCCTTTCCACACCTCCAGGTCAGGGGTGCCCCAGGGGCCGGGTTGGCATCCCACACACCTGTGATCTGGAAGGCGTGTTCTCCGGACCCCTCCAGTGGGCAGAAACTCAACTCTATCAGTGGTAACAGTCCCTGCCAGGGCACAGGGGAGGAGGGGCTTCAGGGACTCTCGGAGGGACAGGCGGACATGGCCCCCTGCTGCCTGCCCTAACTCTATTTTTTTTTTTTTTTGTTGGAGTCTCACTCTGTCACCCAGACTGGAGTGCAG